AAAACTAAATCTCTGGCGCCACCACTGAGCCTGACTATTTGTGGTTGGGGGGCCCGACTTCTTTTTTTCTCCAAAGGGGGGGCCTGACAGAAAAAGTTTGAGAACCACTGCTTTAACTCCAGGTGACTTTCTGCCGCTTTCCTCCGTGGTGCAGTGCTGATCGTTTCACCACGGAGGAAAGCACTTCACTCATTGCAGTACCCATAAGGAGCTGTACAAATGCCACAGTTTTTGCGTGGCTGTGTATTTAGTTGAAAGCCCAGTGGCGATCTGCTCATCTCTCATCGAAATAATATGCTACAAAGGGGCGGACTGGCCATCTGTGTGTTGAACTTTCCTGTCGGCTCCCAGACCGTAGTCGAGGAGGGCAGAAGCAACAAGCTTCAGGTTCAATAACCCACTTTAGCTTAAATGACTGGAGAGAGGCGAGCTCTTCTTGGGAGGCCGTTGCATTTATTTACCTGTTCTTCTGTTTCACAAAATACATCACAGACCTGTTTTTCTGCTTCCTCGTTTCACTTCCAGAAACATACACACGTTCTCTCACTGTCGCTCTACCATCCACAAACACACATGCACAAGCCACACCCCTCTCTCTCTCTCTCTCTCTAAAGGGACAGCGATCTCATCTCACTCTGCATGACCCTAATATCATAACATGTGTGCTCTGGAGAATCACAGAACGGACGATCGTCCTTATTATGCCGTTTAAACCAATTATTTAAATGTGTTTGTTAAATTCGGCATCATATAAGTTGCGCTGACAGGTCCACACACTGCTTCCCCGAGCGTCAAGCTCCTCAACCCCTCCCCCCGTTGATCATTCTCGATCGTTGGCACGCTGATAACAATTTTCTTTTAAAATGGCACTTCATATCAAAAAGGTTGCCGACCCCTGGTATAGAGGTATGAAGACATCATAGTTTATGCAGCTGCGACCCTTCAATTTATTGGAGTCTTTGATTGTGATTTTGACTCGCAGAAAGTTAGTTTTTTTACCACAAATGTTCCTCGTAACAACTAATGTAAGATACAGTAGGTGTCATTTAATTTTAACCATTGATTATATCCTGTGAAAATAGTCTGCCAAAAGTTTAGAGAGATTTACGAGATATACATTGCTTCTTCTGTGAATAACATCCTTGTCCAGTTCTCACTTTGTTCTACATGCTGTGATGGAATTGCTGCTGAACTTAACCAAGAGATTCTCAAAAGCACAGGAAGCCTTCACTGACTTTTTTCATTTGAATGTAACAGGTATGACCACCTCAGCCGGGTGCTGATGAAGGTGATGGATGAGCACCCTGATAATGCGGTGGACGTGATTGAGGACGTGAGCCGGGAGGTGAAGCGGGGTTTATTTGAAGACAAGCAGAGCACCCTGCGAGACCTCCCTCAGACCACAGCTGCTGAGCTGCTGGCTGAGCAGCAGCGCCTGCTCTTCTCTCGGCCAGAGGAGGCTGACCAGGAGGAGGAACTGGTACTGCATGCACCACACTGTACATTTGTCCTGGTGATTCTGAGGGGGAATTCGGCTTACGTCGTGTGTCACATTCAGGGTTAGGAGGGTTACTTATGTAATGTATTGCTTAGAGGGGGAGCAGAGGGGGTCATGTCTTCACTATAGTAGGATGAGTAATTTTGCAAGCCAAGGTCACACAGTTGAATCAACAATATCCTTTCATCGCTGAGTACAAACAGATACCATGTGATGCTAATCTCCTCATACTATTGGCTCACAAGCCCTCCATACCTCAAATATCTTATAGGTAAACAACACATCCATAGATTTTAGAACAATTTCAAATGTTTTTACAATCATGATGTTTTTTCTCCAAGAAGCCATTTTTTCTCCAAGAAGCCATTTTTTCTCCAAGAAGCCATTCTAAAAGCTTTTTGGGAGTATTATTACAATTATTCACAACAGTTGCTCCTTTTTCAAATGAAAGAAATACAAGAGATTTAAAAGTGTACATATATACATTTATATAAACATGAGAATTGGAAGTGAAATGTCCAATAAAATATTCAAATAAAATAGAGTAAAAAAGTTAACATAAACATAAGAAGTAAAAAGAAAAGTGCAATAAAAAAATATAAAAAAATAAAATACAAATATTTATTTAAACATTGGAATGTGGAATGGAATGTCCAAGAAAAGATAAAATATGTATATAAACTTAATAAGAAGTTTAAGAAAAAATCTGCAATCAAAAGTTGTATCAAATCAAATAAAGATATTTATATAACATAAGAAAGTAAAGTAAAACATGCACATGACACGACAATATCAATGTGTTATGACCCGCCCCCTACTTAGTGGTAGTGGCTCGTGGGGAGACCCCCAACATAAAATAAAACACGGCAAACACGCAGCATTAAACGGTGTCTCATTTATTCCAGACACAACCGTACTCACATGGCCAACCGGCAAATGATCAAGGGCTGGAGGGCAGGAAAAACAAACAAAAGGACGAAGGGGGCCTGGGCCAGCCACACCACGGGACGTAGGACCCAGAGCTTCCCTCCGCTACCCAGAGGTCTAACAAATCCCTGCGGGAGAAAATAAAGCCACGAAAACCTACACTGCCTGGTTCTCCAGAGTACATAAGACACACAAGTAACACAGGGGATCTACAGATCCTAAACAGCAGAGTGAGGTAGTCCACGGACAGAGTCTTCCGGCATCTGGATAGGGAAGAGACCTCTTCTTCTTCTTCTTTTATTTAATGGCGAATCGCTTCCACTTGGAGCAT